TCTTGGTCAACTCATCTCAGGTCCTTGTCCCCGAAACCTAAACTCTATGAGCTACTCTTCCCTTCAGATGTGCCGTCGCAATCAAAAGAGCATTCGCACAAAGATGTCTCAGGATTTGGCCTTGGAGTTCGGGGTCTAGGCTTTAGGATAGACATGCTCCCAGAATTTATGCAGCAAAAAGGTGTTCACCAGTCACTGTCACTACCGTTAAAAGCCCAGACACGTCAAGGATGTTGAAATCTAGACAAGTACTGGAGAATGCTGCAATTCGGCGGTCGAAAACATTTGGGCACCGCCGCTCCCGTTCTCGAGATTTGCATGAAGCCCACTGTTACAACCGCTTTGGTGCTATGGGCAAACTCATTAAACTTGTTTGAAAAAATGCCGACGCTGTCATGGAACATTTTGTGAAAATAACGGAGCATCATGTAACTCCTGCACAAGATTGCTCCGATGCACACTCTCTTTGCGCCGCTACTCTCGGCTTCCTCAATTTTAATGAGGCCGTGCCGCCGGCATCGGCTCCTCTTCCTTCGGCCATATTTTGGAAACCTCCGCGCACGCGCGGAGCAGATGCCCAGGCTGGCTGGCCTGGGGTCCTGCAGAGTCGCGTGAACTCTTCCTGCTTGCGACGGTTGGTCTCGTGCCCAACCCCCGAAACTGTAGACGGCGCGAGAACACTTTCAAGTAAACAAAAACAATCTCTAGTTTCGCTTCCAAATAAACAACAAAAATCCCAATTGCACCGCGATGCCACTACTGCAATATCAACCCTCGAATTTTCGAACTGGTGCGCCGGAAGTAAATGCATCTCAGAAACCTTGCAGCTTGGGCGGAAGCTCCTGAAGCGAGAGGGAATTGCTGGCTCAAATTGCCGGAGAGCCTGCATTGCGATGCACAGGCCCGATAATCTTTGTAGCGTGCGCAGATTCGCACTGGCTGATCATGAGCCCGTGTTATAGTCTACCTTTACTAGTCTCGAACTTCTCTGAAGCCTCACAAATTTACAAGTCCGGAGGCACGAGTCCTCTACAGCAAGCTCATAGGTAGCGTTCGCCAAGATCTACCATTCCCAAGATAGGGCGCCTGCGTCAACCTCATACTGGTATAGTTTCATCACACACTTGAAAACTGCAGTCACGGTTTAAGGCTTAGAGGCCCTAGTTTCTTTTGATCCCTTGGAATCCGCTAGACCTCCTCTCCTGCGCCTAAACCTGTGCTATCCAAACCCGCAACCCGCAACTCTAAATCCGGAGGCTCTGAAGCAAAAAGTCTGGAAGCTTGCGCTGTAGAGCCGCAAACCTCCTGCATGATTGCTATCCATACAACCCTCAGCTCCCACCCACATGGTGACACTGAAAACAACGATGGAAGCTGGTACAGGGTGGTGCAGAACAAGCATGAATTCTTTGGCAGAAACTCCGTAATTAACAGCAGAATGTGCAACCCTGTTGACCACTCAAAGATTGCTCTCCGTCTACAACCTCCATATACCTGCCATCCTGTGATGCTCCAAACACGTCATAATCACAATGGCCAGGGCAAACGAGCAAAAAGTGATGGCAGCAGCAACAAGAGGCGTGTAGGCAGAGCCGTCACATACCATCTGCAGGTCCTCGATCCGAAAAAGTATTTCAGAAGCAATCATCAAAGCGATGCTGCCGAGGACCAACCTAGGATTCGTTTGGAGTTTGGAACGGTTGGTGGAGTTGGGGATCGTCATTGGCCCAATGACGCAAAACAGAAAAACCTTCCTCATACGCCGCTTTGGACGACGCCTGCCACTATTCTACGAGTGGTCCCACATGTCGGTGCAATGTTGATGCGGGTAAGGTTGAAGAGTTTGTGGCTTGCGGTTGCAAGATGTTGGTTACATTTGTGCAACGTTCATGACAACTTTCAGATCACTGAACGACTATAAGCCATGTCTGGGATTATATGCTAGATTGATAACCTGAAGCTAAAGCATCTGCAAGTTAGCGGGCGGTGGCCTTTTCTTCCTACTTTCCATCACTTCCCCAAGTAATGTTGCATCCCTCCTTTCTACTTGACTTTCTCCCACTCCCTACACCCTGACCTCTGCGAAATTGCCAACCGAGCCCCTTGGGCAATGATGCTGTATGTTGTTGTTTGGGACAATGCTTACTTGGGGGTATTCTTGACACTCGGGCGTTGGCTGTGCGCCGACATTTGCAGCATGTGCGATCTTCGTGTTTGATCGTTTAGCTCAGCTTCTCACCCTGTTTGCACGGTGCAAGGTTCACGGATGAAAGCCAGATGCCTTGTCCTGGGACACGTTATTGCAACCAATCTCGATGAGGAAGCACGAACAGCTGCGCCAGGGTGCATCTCCCTCTGGATCGCTTTAATTACTGCTAGTGCAAGTCCTTTCGCCCATCCATTGTGAGTGAGGCAGAGGGGAGGAGGAACGGCTTATCTGACAAAATACCTTCTGGAAATTTTAGAGCTACCTGATTGTTACTTGAGTTTTTCCCACCTCAGCGCATCAGAAATCCTAGTTGGTCAGGAATTGTGCTACGCCTAAAAAGGACATTGATGGGAATCTCAAGCAGGGAACCGCAAGAACATGGTACGAGCATAATAGGAATATATGAGGACCCCGCTGATGATATTATTACTATATTCCCGCTATATTCTTGTGGTTCCCTGTTTGGGGCCATGTCCCTTTAACACTGCGACAACCTGGCGTGCTGTCTCTTTTCATCGCGGCTGTAGCGGCTGTGGATGCGGGATCAGGGTTTTCTTCCGTTTCAGTGTCCTTCGGACGCGGAACTTGGAAAGAATGCGGAAATTTCTGGGCCCAGCACTTGCCAGCTGAATTTTGACACATGTTTGATTCTAAAGTGAATCTACAAAGAGCATTGAGATTCCGAGTTGTCCTTTGCTTCTGCTTTACTAACTTTTGTTAGCATCCACTCGGTCTGTACATTTTTCAATACATATGGTCAGCATCTATGAAGTATCATTAGCATCATTGAATAGCTTGGCAACACTGAAGCACAGATAGCCCTCAGATAGCCTATGTCGCCCAACGACTCCGTTTCGGAGCCACTGGCAACCACTTTGTCCAAGAGAGACAGAGCATGGCTATTGTTACCAAGGGATAAGTTGTGCATAAATCTGAACAAAATAGCTGCATGGTGACCCCTTCCGAGTTTTGCCCAGGCTTGCCGTCATTCCAGGTCATCGCGGGGTATAACACCCACATTCAAGTAAATAAGCTTAGACAGCAACTGGAAGTGTCAGAATTCACCATGTGAGCTACACTCTAAACTCCTAGTATCCCCCTTCCTACCCCCTACAGTAGTCCCCTATATGGGGGTTTCCCGAAATTAGGGGTACCATTTTAGGGGTCCCTATAATAAGAACTATAGTATTTGGGGGTCTATATTGGGTCCCCTTATTTTGGGAAACTACCATATAATTTCTTATATAACCCCCCCCTTAAGGAGTTTAGACCCTAAACCCTAAACCCTAAACCCTATATAATCCCCTGTATAACCCCCCCTTAAGGAGTTTAGACTATAACTCATGTAACGCTCACTGAGCCCAAGATGCCCACGCCCGCTTCCCAGGCGAGAAATCCCTGAGCACAGGACCAAACCTTGAGAACCCACATGGACCAGGGTTTAGGGTTTAGGGTTTAGGGGGTTTAGGGGGTTTAGGGTTTAGGGTTTAGGGTTTAGGGTGGTTTAGGGCAATATACTGTCTGTCATGTACTATAATTTGCTAGAATCTACGATAATATACTACAATACGATAAATATACTACAATATACTATGATATGCTGCAGTATACTATAGTATGTTAAAATCTGCTAGAACACACTAGGGCTTCCTCAGGTTGAGCCTGAAGATGTGCTATCATGATACACCCGTCGCGGCGACTGAGATTTCAGGATGATGGTTCTGCAGATCCACGGTCATAGTTCCACATTAGGTTTAGGGTCTAGGGGGTTTAGGGGGTTTAGGGGGTTTAGGGTTTATGGTGTATGGTGACATTATAACAGTAAGAATACAATGAAGTAAGAAGGGCAATGAGAATTTGCTAGTACTTTGTATAGCATCCAACAGTAACATGGGCCGAGTACAAGTCATCAGGTCCATGTCGTCCTGAGGTTGGTATTTCCGAAATATGCAGGCGAGCAAATCATCGACTGCATGTCCACTGGAACCAACCCTTACTGCCAGAAGATCTCCATGCGGAGATAGGCAGGAAGCGGATTCGAAAACGAATATGCGAAAAGTGTTGTTGGCCTCTAGGGTGTACAGGTTGGTGCTAGAGACGTCTAGTGAGTCTACCAGCTATCAGGCTCAGTTAAGGCAGTAAAGATATCAATTCCACAGGGAAAAACGTAACGGCAGGGGATCCAAGTAGAATTGTTGCACTTCCGAAGCACTACACGAAAGTACAAAGTGTCTTGCATTCTGAACGTCCCCGTGATGTTCATGTACTCCTGCTTCAGTGCCGTCTACAATACTGACATCCTTGATGTTTCGGGGGTGTTCGCGGACGGCAGAACAGACGTATTGCCGGCTTGGTCAGCCTACATCCCCAAGATTGGCATTTCAGAATAAGATTGGGACCCTAAACCCAAAACCCTAAAGCCTAAACCTTAAACTTTAAACCCTGGGTATATATTCTATCCTTTGGGTTCTGCAGCCCATTTATTTAGATACCCGGCTCCTCTTCAGCAGGGGTGTTCTGCAAATGTCCAAGTCCTAAAGGCCAACCTTAAGAGAAATGGTCCAGAGGCTTTGGGTTCTGAGCGTTGAAGCTCAGACCCGCCGTAGGGCTCAAGTCCTACAGCCCTCTGGACCTGCGAGGTCGTGCAATTTCCAGCAGAAGGCTTCTTGAGGTCTTCTTTTCGCGATGAAGCTGTAAATCCCCTAGCAGCAAAGACCTCAAAGAACCCACGTTGTAAGTCAAAACCCAACCCTAAACCCTAAACCCAAATCTCGAATCACTGATCATTGTTTCAGGACTCAGACTTGGCCTCCTTGGACCCTCCCAACAGTGAGAGGATAGCTGGCAAGAGCCACAATCCTTGGTGTTGCTGTGCTACGCATATTTGGAGCGTCATTGACGAGCCCAAAGTACAGTTTTAGGGTTTTAGGGTTGTAGCAAACCCATGATGACAACCTCTCCAACTCTGCAGGGGGGGTTGAAAATGTTCATCTCGAATGCTTTGCAGATTAACTTTGCTGAGCCCAGATTCCGTGAGCCCCTGCAATGGTCACGACCAAGAACAAGACCTTGAAGAAGATCCTGGACATGTTTGGGCGTGGTGTGGATTTAACTTGGAAGCTTCAAGTTCCAGAGTCTCAGGTTTTGCAATTTTTGGGGATGCCCTAAACCCTAAACCTTATATGGAAATAGGTCGACAGTCCTGAAGACGTAGCTGTCAGAGAAGCCAACCACCACGACGGCAAGCAGCGTGGACAGGACTGCGTGGACAAAGCAGGAGCAAGTACAGGGTAGGGATATTATGTAGGCTTCTTTCAACTTACTCTACAGCTCAGACTTTGGGGGTATGTCAAAGGATGTCTATCTACATAAGTCAGTTTTGAACGGTAGTCAGATAGGGCCTACAGGTAAACCCTCGACACAAGGCCGTGTATTTGGAGGCTGCCTGTCACATACCTGAAAACTCAGGATGGAATGAATGGCCATCACCTTTCTGAAGCTACATTGGTGGCGGCTATGCAAGCACGCGGGGGACCATCCCGATGGTGTGGCGGGAAGCGGGAGGGTGGCTGAGCTTTTCCTGGGGGAGTCCTTCCACACACTAGTGCTACTACTGTTGATGCTGAAAACGCTGCATGGCCTTAACGTACTGAATACCGTGTCTCCCAATACATAAGGCACTGATCATGATGTAACGTAGGCTTCGTTGTATAAAGCACTGGGTCGGCCCCTAAAACCCTTTGAAAAATATTAGTATATAGGGTCCCTTATTAAAGCCATTAGGTAAAATAATAAATATCCCAGGGGCCTACCCAGAGCATGTCCCCTTTTGGGCTCCTGCGTTGAAGGTGCACGGCCCAATGCGCTCCACTGCGGCAATGGCTCGCTCGCGAGGGCTGCCCACAGACTCCTGCAACACAGGGAGACGACTTCGGCATAGGCCCCGCAGATAGGCATGGGCCCCTAATATGGGGGATAATGGAAAATAGAAGAGAAACTAATACATTATAATAGGGGTTACATAGGGATAATGGAAAATAAAATGCAAACTTCTACAATGGTAGTTTATACGAGTTATAATTTCAAATGACCACAAAGGACCAATGATGATTACGCTGGGGTCCTGCCATGTTCCTGCTGTGCCGCTCTCAGTGTTGCTGGATCTAGGGTAGAAGATTCACGGTGAGGTTATGTGTACGCTAGACTTGAGGGTATGTGTAAGATGTGGGTTTAGGGTTCAGGGTTCAGGAACCAAGTAAGCAGTTCGCATACAGGTGCACTTCGGGCCCCCGGATTGAGACACCGTTTACAAGAACATGCGTACGCAGCTGCAAGTTTAGCATGTAGAGGCTTCCTTAAATGGAAAATCATGGAGATATCCTGAGAACATACTCGTGCGATGGGAGGAATTTTTCAGGGTTCCCAACTCCTGCATAAGAGTTTTTTTGGAAAATTGTCCCTGGACATTCCTTCAGGGAGATCCCTACCATCCCCTTGTTGTAAATGAATATATCCATATTATATCTCCCCAACGGCCACAACCCTAAACCCTAAACCCTGAAGCAACCATGTTATGAGAAAACCCCTTCGTGCACTACCGGGCTCCTTGAACATGTGGGCAATGTGCGCTGCGTAATCCACAGCCAGGCCAACACAAATCAGGAGGTAAATTGTGGAGACGCCGCTGATGGTCACATCCTCTGGAAGAGGGCTTGGGGCTTCGGGTCTCACATCCTATGGGGGGGTGTGCCAAAAATGCGAATGAAAGAGACACACGAATCAAAAGGGAAGTATAGGGGGCCCATCCTTATAGGTTTTCGAGATGCAGGGACGCCATGCAGACTTTCCTGGGGAATCAAGGGTGAGTAAGCTATAGAAGTGCTGACTCGATTAATCCCGTGAAAGCGAACAAGCTAAACCACAGAAATGGTACCTGGGCTACCGAGCATCCCAGAAGTACATGAACCCCAGGGTGTCGACGATGGACAGGGCCACGCAAAGCACCACCCAAATCGCGATGCGCGGTGCGGGCACCAAAGCAAAAATCACCACCAAGATGACCTTGTATGGCATGGGTCATATCAAGTAAAGGGGCGTGACCTTGGAGCCTGACGTACCTGCAGTTTTGGGTTAAATGACAGCTCCAAATCTATATGGCACCTGTAGTATGTATGTTGATTTTAGGCAAATCTCCTCACATGCATGAGATATGGTCCTCATCTTTGAGTTCGGACACTGTACTCCAGCGCGGGTCACTATACTCGCTTCCCCATTTGGGGATCAAGTATGTGGGCTAAGTCCCCAAACTCGAGTTTAAGACTGGGACATGGGTATCAATGCAACCCAGTCGCTCCACCGCAGATGAGGAGGTTGCGCACCAACTCGACGTCGATCACTCCAACTTCCTTTCATGGGGTATCTCAAAGCTCTTTCAACGACAAAAATTGTTGTAAGATGCTTCAGAGGTCCCCAACAGCTCCACCAGGTCCTTTCAATACTCTAAATGTTAAGCGCGAGTCCTTGAAAACATGTGAACCTCATGCTCAAACCTGAATTGCAAAAGCCATAAGCACTGGTCTCCTCCCAGTAGAGGAAGTCGAAGCTGTACGGGAAGGAGCCCGGGTAGAGCTCATCGCACTTTGCGCGCATGGACGTCATGGTCGTGTAGCGGTTGGTGCCCTGGTCCAGGCATGGCTGTACGGGGGCATCTTGATGGATGCTGCGTATAGTGGATAGTTTTAGCACAAAATACCTCTATAGGAACCCGTGGGTGAGATTCAAATATCTGCATCTTTGGGGCTACTTCTGTCTCCGTTCATCTGGGGGCTACAAGACATGCTCCTATTTTGGGAAACCATCCAGGTAAGCAGTTGGAAGGCACAAAGACTCCAAGACTGAGAAAGCCTGGCTTCAGGATTCACATTGCGGATCACCTAGATCCTGAACTCATTGGTTGTTAGTACGGACTGACAAATGTGGATGCTTCAAAACCTTTGGCTTGAAGACACTTCAAACAACTTCCAGTCACATGGAAAATACGATGAACAAAGAAATGGAAAGTGGAGACTCAAAGGTCGAAGGGGTTAATCGCGGGTGTAAACGCCTGTTTGGTAGTCATATCGCTGATGGAAAAATATGATGATGCGGACTGAAGAAGATCTACTGCACCATGCGGATAGTTCAAGATTGACTTTGAAGAAGGTCACCCAGCAGGAGGTTGGGAGCTTCGGGGAGCATGGAAGTGTTGAGAAGTTTTACAACGCTCGTTTCGGTGGAAATTGCCCTTCAACATTTTCGTCAAGCTAAAGGGGTTTCCAAGGGCGTCCACCACCAGATCCCCCCAAACTAATAATAGTCGATAAGAACTGCCAAGGCTATCGATGTTCCCCTACTATGCCCTCCTACACTGCCCATATCCCTCTGCAGATTCACTTCTTGATTAGGTGTTTGCAAGGACCAATGGGCGGGGGTAATATGGGATCCCATTATGAACGCCCTTCGCCTTGTCCGTGGCCGAGAGGGACAACTCCGCATTGAAGCGGCTAGCCTTCAGACCATCGGTGATCACACAGCCTGCAGGAATCACCTGAAGAGAGCCAAAAGTTGGGGGCTACTTTGTGGGCGGTCCCTATGATGAGGATTGCCCTGTATTGGGGTCTATTTGGTGGCTTGCTATTCCTGGAAACCCGAGGGAAACCATAGGCTTTTCGGCTTAGAGGCATGTGGGGCTTCGAGGCTCATAGGCGTCACGGTGATGTACAGTTTGGGTTTGGGGGCTCAAAGCTTGAGATTTTGTAACGGACCCTAGGAACGAGGCCGATTTTGACGCCCCTGGCGAAGGTAGGTTTGACAACCAACACTATTCGGAATTGATGCCTCTGTTCCTCATCATGCAGGACATGGCCTACTGCTTCCAGCATGACAAGTGCAAAAAGGCTGCCACTTGCGCTTAGCTGGAACATCCTTCCCTAAGGGTCCGAGTACCTAATAATCATATACTTACCCAAAACCTATACTAGAATTATTATTACCTAAAACTCGTACCTAATTATTGGGTACTTGGACCCTCTGGGCTTGTCTAGATTCGCCAGACGCACGGCGCCCTAACCTGTCCACTGTGACCACGATTGGCTGGGGTAGGGCAAGACTTTTGAAGGCTGGATAGGATCTGGAACTGATCTGGATAGTGCGTGCGCAACGCAATCCTGTTCCCCCAATATCTGACGAACAAACACGTCGTCTCCTCAGACTTCCCATGTGTTCCAACCCCCTAAACCCTAGATCCTCTGCACCCCAATCACCTTGTGAAGAGGACCTACGCGCCCGCTTTCAGAAGTCCCCGGGCCCTCCTAAACATCATGATCAAGCAAGGGCACATCGGAGGTGCCGTCAAGATTGCAGTCCTGCAGGTGGGCTTGCTTGGAACGATTCTGAGGCTTGTATGCGCCTAGAAATTATTTTCTCTGGGGTCACGGAGAGCTCTGGGGATGTTACCTACAGGAAGTGCGTACTACATGCTTAGTGCCGTGTTATCTCAAGGATAAAACCTATTGCGCAATTAGTTACAGGAATTAATTCCAGGTACCTCAGTGTAGGGCTTTTTCAAAAATTGCATGGGACGACCAAACCAGCTTTTTGGGAATCCAGTTTTGGCTTATTGGTTCGAGGTATGGGGTTCATTGTGGAGGCTTAGTGGTTTAAGGGCTTCATCATGCCGATACCTTGTTCATGTACGTCTTAATGCTGAATGAGCCTAGAGGTCCGTGGCCTATCTCTTGTTGACGTGACTTTGCATCTAGCGCAAGAATCATCATTGTATCCACGCCTCCTTTTCGAAAGTTGGAAGCGTGGCCCCAGCATCTAGCATGGAGCTTTACGCTTACATCCTTAGCTTGCCTAAGCTAGGCACATTATTTTTTTAAAAAAATCAAAATCAGCCCCCTGCTTGCTATCATATTCGAAGCAAATACACAGTTTGCGTTTGACAAGCCAAAAATAAGCAGAAACTACTGGCCAAGTTCAAGAATGCTTCAAGCACCGAATCCAAGCCGGCACCACATTTCCTTCCTGCTTGCAACTTGCACTTACATATAACTACGTATAGCCTAGCTACACGCTGTCGAAGTTTCCAAAGAGGATATGATTTGGGGTTAAAGGTTAGGTTTAAGGCATAACCAGGTTGTAACTGCCTTGCACCATGATCCCGCAGCGCCACGCCCCCACACAGCCCCTGTGTTAGGAAGCCTCCCAAATAGTTGTTCAGCGCTTGTTTGCACAAGAACGAACAGGAGTTGCAAGACCGATGCCTTTTCTTGTAGTACAAGACCATGGCATGACCATGGAAGAAGCTTCAACCGAAAACCAAAGTCTGAACCCCCATAAACCGCCCTGAGAGTGACTACTGGCGCGTTGAAGGGGAGTGTCTGGAAATGGACTCATAGATAAGGATCTGGTAGAAGCATGTTCACGCCACCGCTCTCCTTCTCAAGTAAAAGAAACACGAGTTTGGAAAGAATATTGGCCATATTCCTGGGAACCCACAAAGGGCACGAAATCAAACCCAAACCCTACGCCGTAACCCACACCCTGAAAACCGTCTCTCGACAAATCTCCATGCTTGGATGTCCAAAGTTATCAGAATGAAACAAGGACTGCAACTATGACACAGTTATAGGCCTTGCAAGTCCTGCATTCTAACTGCGTTGTAACTAGAACTTCAACTGGTCCAAAATTTCCCAAAATTGTATATACGTTTATGTAGGCCCCATCTACTTTTGTGATAAAAGCAAACTCCCTAGTTGGGTCAATCCCCCATCCAGTAATGGGTAGCACCAGTGACGATCATAGGTATGTTAGGGCCCTATTAACTTCATATTAAGGAGCTATTACTATACTTGGCTGGCCTTTAGAGACCCTTGAAAATATTAGTATAGATGGGTCCCTATAAAACCAAAAAAAGGAAAATATCTGCGGAACCCAAAGGCCTACCCAGTATAGGGAGGATTGACCTAACTTCCTAAAACTTGAGAAAATCGCCAGCCTTGGAGGCCCAAATCATGGAGCCGCGGTAGCGGGAGCCGGTGGTTCCACGGTACCAGGTGTAGAGGGCGGTGTAGAAAGCCGTAGAGTCCTTAGGGTTCTAGGGTCATACAATGAAACCCTAAAACGCTAAACACCGAACCCTAACCCTAAACCGCGCGGATTTAGGGCTACAAGCGGGGCTCTTGGGTTGGGGTCTTGGGGACATATATATATATATACATACATATGTGTATAGGGTTTTGGGTTTTGGGGAAATGGGTTGTGGGTTCAGGGTTTTGTGGTTCGAGGTTCTGGGACCTCAAGAACACGAATGCAGGATTAAACGTTGAGGTCCTTTTGCCAGTTGTTGGATCCAGCTGCTTGGCGGGAAAGTCTTACCGCTGGCCCATGAAATTGACTTGATTAAATAGTTCATCTCAACGATGAGCAATCTGAGGGTCCTTGAATTGTGGACTTCTGGAGTAGCGTTTGGGGTCAGCTGAATTTCTTGCACAAGGTTGCCAGAAGATCTTTATGGGATACAGCAAGGTTTTGCTAAACACCAGGGCCCCGGAACACGTTGCGGATTGAGGCCTTCTATGGATCAAGTGTTCATCATCAGCACTAAGGCTTCAGTTTCAGGCCTGGCCCTCCTAAGAGTCTCCAAGTCCATAATCTGGATGGCACGCTTCCTGAATCCTAACCCCTTCAATCCCCACATGACATGCCTCAACAGCCTTATGACATGCCCAAGCGGTTGAAAGCCCCTGGGCATCTCAAAGCTAGCTCTCTGGTATCAGCATAACAAGGATCCTACTATGTGGGGGGATATGTAGCAGCCCTGATGTCGAGAAATGTCTAACAACAGGTCAAGGTTCCTGGAAGATGGCATTCGCATCCGTGCGCGAGGGCGTGAAGACGGCACTGGAAGTAACCTGGGTTGCTGGTAGAGAACTTAATTTAAGTTACGATATTCGGGAAACCATACTAATTATTAATTACTACATATATATATGTATATATACACATACCAACTATGGTAACTTAATTTAAGTTCCTTAATAGCAGCCCAGCAACAGCTTGGCTAGGGTCCACGGCCCAGGACATGAACTCCTCGGGAGTGCTTCGGCTGGAGCTACAAAGCACCCTCAATCGCAGCCCGAAAACTGGAGTTTTCTACCTACCTGCAAAAGACCGCGCACCAAAAATTGAGTGGGCGTCGCTGGCGGGGAGGGCAGGAGGGTGGATGGTATAGAGTTCAAAGGATTCCACAAACTTGAAACCCAATTTGGACTGACCTGCAACCCCAAAGCTGTAATGGATGGGTAGCATGTACTTTTCTGCTCCACATGAGCCAGAGTCTAAACTCCTAGTATCCCCCTTCATAACCCCCCATAATGCTCCCCTATATAATACCCTATACAACCCCCTTTAAGGAGCTTCGATTGTAGCACGCATGTATTAGCAGTTGCCAACAGTCCCAGCAGGGGTGCACCTCATAACCGTAGGTGTGCATAAGCACGAGCTTTTGCTTCACAAATCTCTCTCGAAGCATGCCCCAATATATTATAGTAGTTTCCGTTTTATTTTCCATTATCCCATTATAACCCCAATATAACCCCAATATATTATAGTAGTTTCCATTTTATTCTCCATTACCCCATTATAACCCTAATATAACCCCTATATAACCATATT